TTTTACGATTAAAATTATTGTAATAATAAATAATATAAGCAAATAATTTGTTGAAATATCACAAGCATTATAAAATCGAAATAGCACAAGCATTATAAAAATCGAAAGAGTTAAATATACAGTATATGTATAACTACTTGTTCGAATTTTACATTTAAGCAAAGTGTATTGTAATTTTGAAAAAGAAACTTTGTTTGGAGAAATTTAAACTCAGATACGTAACTTTTTTTAGGGGGTATACTAGGGTGGTTCAATGTCGTGTGAAATCGGAGATTCTGAAGATTTTAAGAATCTTACCAATTTCAAATAAATATAATATTACTGATCGAAAATATGAATTAATAGGTAATTTAGAATCTTAGAAATTTTCCTCGTTCATCATCACAAAATCATGGGGTCAACTAAATTCTAATATATTTGTCTATTTAAATTTGAAATAACTTTACATTGAGTAAATAGCAATACAAATTTTTTTATTTTATTATAAAAGTAAAATGTAATATGAACTTTTTTGCAAAACAATTCCTTAAACCGAAATATATACTATCTTTAAACTTTACCATTTAAAAAATTCTTTATAGTATTTTATATTTGTAATATAATTTTTAATTTTAAGTAACAAATTTAAAACTACCCGGCTTTAGATAATCCTCTTTTGAAGAAAGTTTTATCAATAAAATTATTCAATATATTATTTACACAGAGTTTTTTTAAAAAAATACTATATATTGTGTATACGTTTGTTTGAAAGAGCTTAGAAAATTTTAATAGATTAAAATTTGTATTAAGAAAAAATTAGCATTTAGTAACATTTTTTTAAAATCTTTAGTTTTTATTTATAAAAGATGTCGAAATATTATAATAATTTAATAAATATATTTAGTTTAGAGATGAAGATTATTCTTATTCCGAAGATTATTCTGATTCTGAAGAATATTCTGATTATTATGATCTTGATTTAGAAAATTATTATTTTGAAGATGATCTTGATTCGGAAGAAGATAATAAAAAAGAATATAATTATATGATAAAACAATAGCTTGTAATGCATATTAATAAATTAAGAAAAAAGCAAAAATTTGATTTATACTCCAACTAACAAAAAGTTACCTGAGACAATTCTACCATTAGAAGATGCAATGTATTATCCACAAGTTGTGAATAGTAGATATCCTTCACACAAGGCGTGTAGCAAATTGAATTTATATTTATGATTAATAATTCCATGTTTTGAAGGAAAACTTATTCATTAATTCTTCTTGAGATTCAAAGAATCATCATGATAGTATGACAAATAAAGGTTTCACATGGTTCTAGGTAGTATACACAAGGTAATAGATATCACAAGGTAATAGATAATACCCACAAGGTAAAAGGTATTATTCACAAGGCAATAACAAGGTAATAGGTATTATCCGCAAGGTAATAGATATCTATCACAAAGGGTATGTGTCACGTGAGTAACGGTAATAGCGATGATTAAAAGTCAAATTAACTATGCAGAATGATAATAAAGTCAAATTAAAATTAACTACGAAACTAATAATAACTTCATTTTCGTAATGATAGTCAAATGACGTAATTGAATAGTATGTAAGTGTATAAATAAGAAATGTAAAATTAGAGAAATCATTTTTAGTTTAGAATCTTTTGCACGGAAAGCACAATTTGATAAAGAGAATAATACTCAATTTGTCGTTATCATATCCGTTATTGTTAAACAAAGATTATTTTCAGTAAATAAATAAGCGAGTTTTCGTTAGATCCGTGTCTAGTTAGATTTCGGTGCTAAACTGTTAGTATCGCTTAACCCTATGACAGTATGTAATAGATTAAATCGATAATTGATTATATTTTGTGAATAATAATTCTGTGTTTTGAGAGTTAACTTATTTACTCAATTCTCTTTTGGCTCAAAGAACCATCATAATAGTTTGACAAAAAAGAATTTATGCCTAAAGTGCATGAATAAACCAGTTTACCCCAATTCTCTATGGTGCTCAAAAACTTGTCGAAACAAAACATTCAATTGGGAACAATTAATTTGTATGTTTATTTAAATAGAAAATAATTATATAATTATTTGACTTGATTATTTTTCTGTTTTTTTTTTTTTTAGCTTCATATATTAAAAAGCTTCGGAAAAGTAATAAAGACTACATTAAGATTGCAAACCGATTTAAAGATAATTGGAAACATTCAAGAAAACTTGTTCCAAAAATTAGTAATATATGGGAAATACATTGTAATTGGGCTTTAAAATCCAAGTATAGAAAATACCGAAAAATGATAGAAAACAAACGATGTTTGAAGGGAAACTATTATTTGAAAGACGATAGAAGAAAATATCATATGGCTTCAGGAAATGAACAACTAAGGTTTCATGGAACAAAGTAAGAATTTCCTTTATATACAATATATATATTGTACCCTGAATGGGAATCTGCCAAACTCAGAATCCGGCTGTTGCTATACTAATATTCCAAACCTAAACTTAAACATATAAGAATTCTAAATCCAGCCACCCGATACTGAATTGGGACGGTCGGATTCTGAATTAGGCGAATTCCCCTGGGGCACGACATATATATATATATATTTTATTATGCTTTTATTAATAATAATATATTTTTAGATCATGGTCATGTTTCATTGGTTTGAAAGATGATGGAAAAGTTTGTAAAAACAAATTATGTTCAGTATGTGGCATTATAAGAAATGGATATAAACTTAAGTTTGTGAGTACAGGCAGAGGTACAAGCAGGTTTGGTAAAGGGATTTATTTCTCTCGTACCTCATCAAAATGTGACGATTATAACGGATCGCCAAAATATTTTAAAAGAATAGGATATAAAGTAATGATAGTAAATAGTGTTGTGATAGGAAAAGGATATAAGATTGCTGCAGATGATACGACGCTTACAAGTCCTCCATATGGATTCGATAGTATATTAGGCGAACCTAGTAAGAATAGAAAGTTAAAATATGATGAATTAGCTATATATAGAGAAGAAGCTATACGTCCACAATATTTAATTGTTTATGTAGCATAATACTTCGTTGAGCTTAGAACAATTTAGTACTAGATTTTTTTCATTTATCGCATTTATCTTCATGCATACATTAATATATGGTAGCAAAGATGCCCCAAATAAAAAATCGATGATAAAACAAAAGTTAGTTAGTATGTAAAGTTAAACATTAATTATAGTTTAGAAATCTTCAATCTTATGTAATTTTTTTCTTACAATCAAATAAATTTAGAAATTATGAATTTTATGCCAAAAAGAAATTTCTATACAAATACATTATAAATCTGAATAGCGAAAGAAATTGCTTATATTATCGGTTCTAACTCAAAATTTTGAAATTGAGATACTTAAAGGAACCTGAATACTAATGGAATTGTTTCACTTTGATTTGTTGCCCAGAAAAACCCTTGTTATATGGGAATTTTTTATGAAAAGGGTGAAAAGGATGAACATAAGGCATTTGAATGGTATTTGAAATCCGCTAAGGGTGGCGATTCAGAAGGACAATATCATCTTGGACTCTGCTATGAAAAAAAGGTATAGGTACTAATGAGAATAAAGGAGAAGCATTTAAATGGTATTTAAAATCTGCTAAAAATGGTAATCCTGAAGGACAATATAATCTCGGATATTGTTATGAAAGTGGAATCGGGGTTGAAAAGGATTATTGTAAAGCATTTACATATTATAAAAAATCTGCTGATATGAATCACAAAAAGATAATAAGTCCTAATGGAATGTTTTATATGGGAATTTTTTATGAAAAGGGTATTGAAGTTGAAAAGGACGAATGCAAAGCATTCATTCATTATCAAAAATCTGCAGAAATGGGACATGCTGATGAACATATAATGTTGGACATTATTAAAGGAATCGGAGTTGAAAAGGATAAAAATAAGGCATTCATTAATTATCAAAAATCCGCTGATATGGGGCACGCTGAAGGAGCATATAATGCTGGAAATTGTTATCGAAATGGAATTGGAGTTGAAAAAGATGAGTGTAAGGCATTAATTTATTATCAAAAATCAGAAGAGATGGAGAATACTTATGGAACAATAAATGCTGGATACTGTTATTTGGAAGGAAGGGGAGTCAAAAAAGATGAAAAGAAAGCAGTTGAATATTTTAAAAAATCAGTGGAAATGGGATATGTTAGGGTTAGAGAAATTTTACAAATTGGAGACTGTTATCGAAATGGAATTGGTGTGCCAAGAGACATACAACGAGCCAATTATTGGTATCGAAAAGAACAAGGTGTGAAGAGGATAAGCAAATCATCATATGAGAACATTGATAATAATTTGAAAAAAATATTGGACGATGAAAAATATCGACTATCGTGGATTCCTTATAACGAATTTAAAAATATACAAAAGATAGGAAAAGGAGGATTTGCAACTGTATATCATGCACAATGGGATGATAAAAGTACAAACCTTGTATCAGACATTGCACTCAAATTGATTCGTGGTTCAAATAAAAAAAATCAAGAATTTGTCAATGAGGTAATATTAACGCAATCAGAAGTTTGTTAATGAAGTAATATTAATGTTTTTGTTTAAAAAATTCATTTATTAATAGTTAAAACGACATTGTGAGATCAGATACGAGAATCCATCTTTCATAAGATGTTATGGAATATCAAAATATGATACAACTAAAGACTATATGATCGTTTTGAAATATGCGAGGAAAGGATCATTACGTCAAAATCTTGGATTGGTGGCAAAAATGGAATGGAAAATTAAATTGGATCTGTTGCATTGCATTGCTTCAGACCTTGAATCAATTCATTCTCAAGATTTGATTCATCGGGATTTACATTCCGGAAACATCTTGCAAGATTATTTACATAGTGCGTACTGTACATTACAGATATGGGACTTTCGATATCATCTAGTATGAAACAGAATGAAGAAATTAATGGAGTTATGCCATATGTCGCACCTGAAGTTCTGAAGGGTCAACCATTCACACAAGCAGCTGATATCTATAGTTTTGGAGTCATCATGTGTGAAATATCAACTGGAAGAAGAGCATTTGATGGTAAATCTTTTAATACTGATCTTGCGGTAAAAATTTGTCGGGGAAGAAGACCAGAATTTGATGAGGGAACACCCGAGTGTTACGTCAAATTGGCCGAGAGATGCTGGACCAGGATCGGAATAAACGACCCACGGCAACTGTTATTTGTGGCAAAATTTGTCATTGGCTTGATGAGATGAATCAGGATGGTGATAACGAAATCAAAAAACAATTCTTGAAAGCCGATAAAACTGAACTTAATATCAAACCATCAAACCATCAGGATCACGTGTATGCCAGCAAACTCATCAACACAAACAAATTATTAACAAATCAGATTTGCCTTAAATTCCTGACGATCCATAAATCATAAATTGGTATTATGCTTTTTATCTGCAATATATTTAAAGAAAATTTTTTATTTATGCTAGTACACTGGCAATCATAAGTAGTGCAACAAAAAAAAAATTTCACTTACATCATACTACCTCCCGCAATTCCGGGCAT